TAACTTTTTCAAATTTAACCATTTCATATCCACTCATCACAGAACGGATGTACTCATGGACGCTCATTCATGTACCAGCAGATTAAGCTCCGTCCCTCAGACCACGCCCACCCTTGCGTCTTTTTGCGCAGTTGTAGCCCTTTTTCAAAACTGTTACTTTTTCGAGGGCCCCAAGAAGCTGCGCTCACTTGTACAATCCCCACCCACTTTTGAGGCAGGCTAGAGTCTCAACTGGCATGTTACGGTCTCGCTCCTCACTCGGAACAAAGACCAAGTTTCTTGCGAGCGATGAGGGAACAAACAAGTACAATTCGTCTTCAATGAAAATATTGCAAGAAACTGACCTCTTTCTCCAATTCAGCCAACCTACTGCGCATTGCTGCCAAATCACGATTAGCCGCAGTCACCTGTGAATAGTGCCAATAACACTGCGAGAAGTTGGACACGACTAAAACCTTCAAAATGGAAATCCAACTCACCTCTTCCGAGAGAGCCATTGAGGTCACAGCCGATTTTGTAGCCTCATCCAGTTCCTGTGATGAATGAACTTGGAAAAGATAGAAACTCTTCAACAAAAAACATGCGTTCTGCGGAAGCTGTTGCATCTAGCCTCCTCCAAAGTGAGGTAAGGATAGGGGCCTCATGTCACCATCATGATAGCCACTAGACAGGAACTTGTTTCATATCTGTCCCTTCGCCCTTCGAAGAATAGAGCCTTTCTTTTCCCTTTAACCTAGAGCCTGATTTCTGGCTCGAGCGACACCTCTGGATGGTTTTCTTCATACGATTTTTCTTCTAAAATATTCTTGTAACAGCAATGTCATCAGGCAGAGATTATCGTCGACAAAAGAACCCCAACAAAGGGAGCCCATATGGGTCGGTGGTGGGGAACCTATTCCGTTCGTTGGGAGGAATCTTTGGGGATCGTAGTTAGGGGGGAGGGGCGAGGGGCAGGGCACGCTGTCGTTGTGATGATCACAACGGGGGTCGTATTTGACTGCGAGGGAGTGGGGGGGTCGTGTCTTGTCTGTGGGAACTTCTCCTGGTAGTCAATTTCTCTTGTTTCACGGACGCTATAAAGGTGGGGGGGGGGTCGTATCTGGCCGTTGTTGAAAGAGGACTGCCAAAGATCTACACAACTACTATTCTCGATAGTTGAAGAAAACTGATAATTGAATACGTCCTGACGACCCCCCTCCCCCGCTGCGATCAGCAAATTTTGGAGAAAAACCAGAAGGAAATTCCGGAAAAATTGGTAGGAGGTTAGGGAGAATTGAGAATTTTGCTGTTTCACAGTGGGTATATACCCCCTCATCCTCTCCTCGGGACGCGAATTCTCACGACTGGAAAACTGGAAATTTTTCGAGAAAAAAAGGAACATATGGTGAGTCGGGAAAATCTAGAAAGGAGGTAGATGGGAGGCGGTCCAGTACAGGATTAGGGGATCGTACATGTGATGGATAAGAACATGTATGCGAGGATAGAATAAGGGGGATCCGTAACATTGTGGATAAGAAATTGAACGGGGTCGTACTCTTTTACAGGAAATACCATAACGCGCTGGCTTCTCCAACCTGGGAGGGGGACGGGCGGTGCTGAGGTTGTGAAAGCACGTCTACCATCGACTACTAATGTGATTCATTATGCAAGTAGCATGCCTTAGATAGAAAAAAAAAAAGAAAAAAAAAAAAAAAAAAACAAGCATCCAGATATACCCATATTCCCCCAATATCGGTAATTGCTCTTGCCATAAAATACCTCTGCCAAAATATCTTCGCAACGCTTCTGAGCAGCCGCTCTTGCGGCCTCCGATACCAACAATTGCTCATTCGCCAAGGCAAGCTCTGTCGAAAGTCCCGCGCTAGTGCACGTTAGATCTGCCTAAAAAACAACATATGAGAACTATTTGTCAAAAAAAGTGTCCAGATCCATTCCTATAACAAAACCTGAGCATATGGACAGCCGCACGCAACCTCTCAAGCTCCTCTTCTTGAGCAAATAGCTGAAAAGTGAATCTTAATCAGTCTCATAGGGGCATAGACAAACGGTTGTAAAGGGTAAACGCCGCTGATTGATTCGCATTTCTAGGACGCGTGCCGACTACCTCAGTCCCACTCGAAGAATGTCTTAATGAATACGATGTGGCCTATACAATAATCTGAGGTGGACAGCCGATTTACAACTCAGTTCTTATCCTTTCAGACAAATCTGGAACCGATTCACCGTCCTCGTAGGGAGGAAAAGGCATGGACGGTTTGGCAGGAGCCGATCCGGGATTTCACCTCAGGACCGCGGCCGTGGCATACCTTCAACTTGCTACTACACCACCTCCGCCACCATCATCACTTAGAGGAGTTACTGGAACTGAGGCACTACTGTAGCTGCGATTCAGAGAGAAAAGCTGTCTGGTCGCGCAGCTGAGCTTGTCTGCACCTTTCATCACGGAAATATTTCCTTCCCTTACCAGACTCGCCTTGAAAGAGCGCACACGTCCGAACTGCAAGCGGCCACTTTGCCGCAAGGTTTCCCTACCCTCAGAGCACCTCCTTCCGCTGCGGGAAATTTTCGGAAAACATGACTCTCTCAATCCCCCCCCCCATATTCTTCCTCTGCTACAACCCCCTTCTCCACCCCAGCTACTATCTTGCTAACTTTTCCCAGCTTCCTCAACTTCTTCCCAAAAAATCTCCATTTTTCATCAAACGTGGGAGGGGGAGCGGGAGGGAGGGTCGTCACCAACCGATCACCAACTTCAACTATCGAAAGCAGTAGTTCTGTAGTAACAGTTTCGAGGAGGAGGGCACCAGAGGGATTTTATCAAAAGCAAATACGACCCCCTTGTAACGACGAGCAAATGCGACCCCACCCCACCCCACCCACCACCCATTACAATTCTTCCAAAGATGTGGATAGCGAAAAGGAAAAACCAACTGTCAAAAAAAATTTATTTCTAACAACCAAACACGACCTCCACTCCCTACAGTGACCAAATGCGCCCCCTTCCCGCTGGTAATCCTAAGGCAGCGTTCAGACTCCGCGGCAGCAGCGGTTCGGTTGCATGTAGACAAAGCACATCATACGTTAGGCAGCGTTCGGAATTCGCGACGGCAGGCGCTTCGTCGCGAATTCCGAACGCTGCCTAACGTATGATGTGCTTTGTCTACACTACAGCGGTGGCAGCGATACTATGGAGGGCACAGTGAAAGACATAACATGCACAGCAAGCGAAGAGGCTTGTTAGGGGCGTGGAATGTGCCCATCCGCGACTGCGTTTTCTACCAATAGCCGGCAGGGCTGATTTAAGTCGTCAGAAGCATGGGTAGAAATGCAGCCGGGTAGATGGTAGGCAAGGAAAGGCTCATTCCACACTCTCTAGTACACCCCATGGCTTTGACGGCTGTGCACTGTATATACAATATACCTTAGCATGAAGATCCTCCTTCTGCTTATTATGCCTTTTCTTCAGGTCAGTCACAATGAACTCATAATCGGCTACGCTTCTTTCAGCATGTTCTTTAGCCCTCTCCATTTCCATCTGCAAAAATCACTGCCTTTCTTCACACATGCTCCTTGACGAAGAAACAACTTAAAAGTACCATGCAGTACAAATGACTCGTACCGCTAAGTGACACTTACCAGCTTCTTGTTGGTCTCGGCTAGTGCACTATCTTGCTCAGCTGACTGTTGTTTGAATTTATCAAGTTCGGCAGATATAGCACGCAAATCCTCATACAGCTCCGCTCTTTCAGCTTGCAGCTGGGCTATGTTTTCCTTAAGCTGATCTTCTGCTGATGGAGATTTAGACCTTCGTTGTTCCCCCATCTCGTAGCAAAACTTTTATCTTCATGAAGTTCGATAAAGGTAATTCTGTAATATACACGACCATCTTGGGCTGTAATGAGAGAACCGAAAAAAGTTCGTACTCGGAGTCATTCATGTTGTACTTCCTCCTCTGCGAAGGAGTTGGGGATGACATCTCTGACCCATAACTCCTTGGCACGCTTGATTCACGAGATATGGTGGCACGTCGACCCCCTTCAAGAATTGGGGACATGTAACCTGAACACATAATGATTGAATACCTTCAATAAAACTTGAAAAGACAAAGGGCCGGCGCACACTTTCGCGTGCATCATATCTTTCCTTATAAAGCTCGCCACTAACAGCATATCCTCACACTGTACCCCCTTCCCCACCTAGTTGTTACCACTAAGAAGAGTAAGAGCAGGTACAGTAGGTAAGAATTCTTAGCTCATGCGCACAGCGAGGTCAAAAAAGACATCATACTCATGGGACGTACTCTCAACAATCGAACAACGCGGGGAAATAGACACTCCCTTCAACACTGGTCCCAATCCTCATGTATTCAGAATCGGTCGAATCGAGGAGCGTGGGTGCCTACCCCCGCTAACGTGCATGGAGCGGGCTGAGTCAAGAAAGTAGAAATCATAAACCGTAGTGAGCCTATGTGAGTGAAAACTAAGCAGCATGAAGCCTTAATTTCTACAATCAAAAAGAATGAAAAAAATATGTAGAGATTTCGTTCAACGACCATGAGCAGCATGGCAGGATTATGAGACTAATTAGGGATCAAGGGATGAGATCTCCGCCCATTTTTCGGGCCCAAGGGCTCGGGCGTTGAAATTGCTCGTTTCTTGAAATGGATCCAAGGCACGTATTCCGTTGGGAAAATTTCTTGCAAAACTTAAAATTTCCCATTTCTGATACGATCCCCCTTCCTCATCCAGTTTAAATTTTCCCGAACATTCCAGCTTTTTCCAAAGCTCGCTAGT